ATTTCCTATAGGTCATTTTCCAGACGGTTATGCTATGATTAGTGTCTGGCGAAAAGCTTCAGCAGATATTTTCTTTGCAACCAACAATTGGTCCAGTTATAAACGCTATTTTCAAGTTTTGAACAACTCGACTTTCAAGATCTACATATCTACATGTGCCGACGTTTCCATTTATTAATGTTATATTTAAGATCTGTGCTGTGCAAGAACTCAACTAACAGATGTTTCCGCATATAAAAGCTATCTTCAAGATAAAATGAGAAAACCTAGAACACCGTTTCATCTTCCAACTCAACATGAAGTGTCTTTATGAAATTGGTGAAATATTTACTTTCAATTAATTTACAAAAATAGTTTACATCAAACTTTTTTGTTCAATCTCCTCAAACTTACCTAGGTAAACGTCTTCCTCTTATTCAAATATTTCCCTGGAATATCATTTTATCATTTTACTATTTTGTTTTATTATTTTGCAAATTTATTTTTATTATTTTCTGTGTTTTTCTCAAATAACATTTTTGTTAAAGTACCCATAGTCGAACGTGTGAAATTAGAAATTCTGTAAATTCTAACTATTCAACGATTCTTTATTAGCTTATTCCAAAATTTTAACACAGTTTTTACAAACTAACGACAGGCGTCTGCTAAGAAATTTCACAAAATAAAACTAAATAATCTTTTATTCAGACGTTTACATTTATCTTTTATTACCTTTTTTTCGAAATACGTTCTGTTTACGTCTTGCAGAGCAATAGTCTCTTTGGACTTAGAATAAAATTTTTACCGAATGATATCGAACAATGAAGCGCTTATCTTTTTTCTGATAACAAAACAATATATTTCACCCGATTTAACTTTAATGGTGAAACAATCGTTAAATAAAATCAGGAGCGCGTATAAGAGGCTCAGGAAGACTATGCCTGTCAAATTGGTGAAGAGAGATAGTTCATCTTTTACAGCCTGAGGGTCAACCCCCTTAACTTGCAATGGACAAATATAAAAACAGTCTCCTCAAATAAAGTGGTCCCTATTTTCACCAACTCAAAAATGTTATACAGTATATGTGGAGAGAGAGCGAAAGAATGTGCATGTGTGAGAATTTCACTAAAGAGAGTTTATTTATTTAGGAGCACGAACAGATTCTTTCCACTGTGCAACCTCCTAATATATGACAGAATAGTCTATCCAAACAAAAGACTCATGCACCTTCTATCAACAAATTTCAGGCTATGATAACCTATAAAGTATAATTTATAAAACAAAAGACAATAAACAGAGATTATATAATAAAACTATTGGGAAATAGTCTTGCAATATGTAGAGGACGTTTGAAAAAGCAAACGACGACAGAACAAATTAATGTCTTAAACCTAAGACATTAGATGTAAATGACAGACAATAAAGAAAATCATGATGGCATATCCACAAGGTGTATTTCCAGGATTTTTTGGTCAAGATTGGTGGGAAATGTGAGATTTTCCCAAAAAAACTGATGACCAACAGTTCGGCCTCGGTCTTCAGAATATTAATAATCTACAACCGATGTGTTACGAAGATTACTATGTACGACCCCGACGTCACTCCAATGTGGAGTTCAAATACTCGTCATAAAGGAACCAGTCGGTTTCAGCTAGTCAACGAGCGAGAAAATATTCAAATTTTATTGGATGTTAGTCATTTTGCACCAAACGAAATAACTGTGTAGATTATCAAAAAGTTTGTTGTTATTGAGGGTAAGCACGAAGAAATATTTGATGAACATGGTCTTGTCTCCCGGCAATTTGTGCGACGATACATGATACCCAAAGACGTAGATCTCGAAACAATTATTTCATCATTGAATAGGGATGGAATTCTGTCCATTGAAGCTCCTATTCCTAATACTAAGAGTAAGAAATGGTTGGAGACGGCTTGAATGGGTAATGAAGAAAAACTTTAATATAAGTTTAACGTAACAGCAAATGTACA